AGAATTTCCAATAGAATTGGTTTTTCCAATGATTTAAATTCACTTGATTCAAATAATTTTTCACTATATTCACAAAATTTTTCCAAATAAATGTTTTTCAATTCTTTAAAATTTTCGTTAGCATAAATCAATTGTAGAATTTTAATTGGATTTTTTTTAATGTAATCTTCACAATTTTCAATAAAGTATTTCATCATATATTCATAAAGTGACTCAATACCAAATTCACCTGCTGCAGTTAATAGTTCTAATACTTCAACACCAGAATAATTTTCAAATTCAATTTTACATGTATATAAAAATCTTACAAAATAAATAAATAATTAAACAGATTATTAGAATTATTATATTAATATAATAAATAAATAAATTTATTTGAACTTACTTGAGAATAGGTTTGAAATGTTTTTCACTAATATTAGCCTTCTTAACAATATAATAACCATTTTCTTTTGTTGCATTACTCAATTCATTGCTGAAAAATTGACAATGAGCAGATATTATAGATGCATGTGCATGAACTTCTTTAATGTTTGGTTCCACACCTACATATATTTTTACATCATAAAAATCTTCAGTATTTAACAACCTTTCATTTTCATTAAAATATTTTTCAAATATTGAATCTGTTTTTAAGATAAAACTAGGATGTTTATATGTAGGTGTACTAGGTGTACTAGGTGTACTAGGTGTACTATCTGTCAAGTGATCATTATTTACTGTCAATCTTCGTCTCAATCCAGTAGTGTAGTTTTTTCTATAAATTAACGTAAATATATACTTTAGTTGGAGTCAAAAGATGTTTTAATTTTAAAAGTCATAATAATAATTTATGGTTTTTCATGTTGTTCTTCTTCTCATTGTTATTATTAATATAACTTACATTGTACGAACAGCACCTTTTGCTTTAAAATTTGACATTTTGATTTGTTTTCCGTGGTGAATGAATCAACCTAATTATAAGTGATAACGTCACAAAAATGGTCAGTTGACGATGTTTAAACAAATAATTCCTTTTTTTACGTTATGTAAGAAACAACAAATCAATCCGGTGCAACATTCAATCTCTATTTCAGGATTAATTGTTGATCTTTTTTGGTAATTTTATTTGTAAAAGTTCACGAAGTTGGTTACGTTGTGATAAATGCTTTCTATTGATCATGTCGGGCGGGGAAAAAAGAAGTCAACATGGCATGTTGATGTTGATGTAAAGGAGATCTTGAAATCAACTTTTGTTAAACTTGATTTTTGTGAAGGAATTTTCTATTTTCAAGAGATGTTAAATTGCAAATGTTCATTTTCTTTGTGTTTGCAGATCAATGAATGTATTTATTTCTTTCCAAGTTATAAAACCTTTCTACTTTCAATGACACCTGATAGCCTTCTGTTTTTTCTTTAACTTGTGCTTGATTTTCTCTGCTATCTTCTTCCATGTTGAAACCAACATGAATTTAAAAATTACAGAAAAAATCAATATCTATCTTTTTTTTGTTATGAAGACAAAAAATGTGTTATTATCTATTATACCAAGATAAAATCGTTATATTTTAATTGATAGATCTTAGCAAGGAATTACTTTTTTGATCAATTATCTTAAGCAAACAATGAACCATTACTTTTTTCAATGAATAAAACCATTACTTTTCTGATTTATTAATGAATGAGAAGGTTCTTAGCAAACAAAACCATTACTTTTTTGATGTGGCTTTACATAGGACATCGGATGATTATATAGAATGTAGGAAATCAATAAAATTTTTTACCCACTTTTAAAAAATTCAGAATTTACCTAAGTTTTTACATACCAGATTAGTAAAAAATATATTTTATTTATTTTTTTCTTTTTGATTTAGACAACGTAAAATACAAGTTAAAATACTATCATTAGAAAGTGTTTGATACGCATTAAATTGTAATGTATACATATTCATACATGATTCTTCTACTCGAAATCCCAAATAATAAAGTATTTGTTTGGATGGTAAATGACAAAAATATTCATATCCTTCATCACACTTTGAGTAGAACAAATTATGTTGCAATTTTAAATATTTTGGTACATGTAGATACAAACATAATTAGATTAACTTCATTTACAGGTTCTCCAGTGTACGAATGATTGTTTCCAGTTGATTTATGATAATAAATTGCAAGCATTTGTGCAAGACATATTTCCTTATTAATTAATGCTAATAACTAACACAAATCCTCTCTTTTGTACTGGATAAATCGAAGAAATATTTGCTGTAGAAATTGAAGGAATACAATCCAAAACTATAAATAGTAATTAATTTATTAGTAAAAATTAATAGTCGATTTTGAATCAGTAATTTTTCTAACTTTTGGATGATTTGAAAGTGTTTTTTCTGTATGCATAAAACAAATTTTATGTTATCAATCAAATTTTTAGAATGATTCACCACATCTAATAATGATATACCACATTAAAAATCCTAAAAATTTACTTATAAAGAATCCTACCACTATTTTTTCGTTTACCTCATTTTATCCCCACATTTTTTTAAAAAACCCATTTTTTACCTACCACCTTTCAGAAAAAAAATTTCAAAATTTACCCCATTTCATTCATACCAGATTATATATAATTATCCGGGGAGATCTCTGGATTCATAAAATAAATTTTTTTCTGATTGTCAATTATGATTCCTTATGAATAATAAATATGATGTTGATTGCAGGTGTCAGATTTAATTAAAATTTCCTATCACAAATAAAGTTGTGGGTGAAACTCCTCCAGAAATCAATCAACAGAGTTTTGACAGGTTACACATTAATTGTTTATTAGAGTTTTGGCAGAGTTTTGCATTTGGGGCTTTTGTCAATTGTCAGAGTTTTGACAAGGTATATACTAATACTAATTGTTCATTAGAGTTTCAACAGAGTTTTAACAGTCATTAAGAGGTTCCAGCAAACAAGTGTGGTGTTTTCACATGCTTCATAACTGTGGATTTTTTTCCACAGGTGAAAGAATTGAACAAGTTGGAAGGCTTTGGACAAACTTTCCCTTATCTCCCTCTTAGACCAGCCTGACTGTTGCCATATGAGCATTGATCACTGATAGCTGGTTCCTATGTGGATGATTGCTTTGCATCATACCCCTCTAGAATAAAGTTGGTGTCTGCAACTGGTTTGAAAATTCAGCAATTTGGGAAGTTGCTGTTTTGAGTTTTCCCTGAATTCAGTTTTGAGTCCTGGGTTGCTGTCTTGTTGGTGGAATGCCTACCCACCAACAACCCTGCCCCATTTAAATAACAAGTTCAGTTGGTCAAACAAAAATTAAAGAAACAGAAATTTGGGAATGATTAATTTATATGTAACATACTAAAGCACCTTGCAAGCCAAATAACTTAGTAGGATAAGCCTACCAAAAAATATCCACATTAGGTGTTTTATCAGATGAGTTGAAATGATTAAGATACATTTAGTCTTTCTGTCAATGATGATTAGTTAACATATATATAGCCAATCCTTGTTAGTTAACTACAGCCAATACACAATAATTTAGCACTTGTCAACTAATTGGTTTATGAATTTACTTTGATTCTCACTTACTGCCCCTTTCTTGGACCCAGAGAGCTTTGGTGAATCTGTAAACATGTGTCACCGGAATGCGAATTTGACCTTAATTCGCTAATCAATAACCCCGAAAATCCGGAGCAACATTTTATATTTTATTTTTATATTATTTATATTATTTATTTATTTATTTATTATTTTTAGTTATCTATTATTTAT